CTCGCCGGCTGGTGCCGGCGCGGCTCCTTCTGATACGGCCTGGCTGCGCCGGGCGAGCGCGGCTTCGCCGCGCGTATTTCTTTCACATATTTCTAGACTCAACTGATATCCGCCTTTTGTTCTGTACTCCACTTTTTTCCGGTGTCTGAAGTACTCTTGAGCTATTTTACAGATTCTTCGTCTGACTCCGCCCACCTCAGAGCAGACCCCGCCCACAATTTTTGTGCCCCACAATCTTCACCGGCGACCTCTGCTGACCTTAATCCACTTTTTTCCGGTGTCTGAAGTGTTCTGGAACCATTCTACAGAATTTTTGTCTGGCTCGCGCCTACCTCGAAACAGGTTTCGCCCCCAATTTTTGTGCCCCACAATCCTCACCGGCGACCCTCTGCTGACCTTAATCCACGTTTTTTTCCGGTCTTTGAAGTGCTCTGGAACCGAGCTACAAACTTTCAAAATGATATCTGCATTTAGCAAGCGCTCCGCCACTTCGGCGCAGTTCTCCACCACTTTGAAGCGTGCCTGTATTCGCCGTATATTACATTCCTACACGATGTTTTTTTCGCGACTCCAAACACTCTCGGCGAACCGGGTTACTGAATTTGCGAAGAAGCACGCCCGCGCCCATTTAGGGTGTACTGCCACAGTTAGTCTGGCGACTCCTTACTAACCTTAGTCCCTTTTTCCCCATCTTTAAGCTGCTCCGGAAGCGAATTATGAACATTTTTCTGCGGAACCCCAAACTTTCGGCGAGTGCCCCGCCCACTGTGGGCGGGGCTTCCCATAGGTCAAGTGTGCTTTTTATTTCTTGTCCCATGCCCTACCTATCCCCACCTTGACTGGACCTCTCCAAGTCGTTCTTCAGGTCGAACCGAATTTCCGTAGAGAACAAACTTACAAACAAACAAACAAACATACGAAGTTAGACGAATATATATATAAGGGGTGATGGGGTGATTATCGTTTGTTGTGATGCTAAGGAAGATGGTTATGGAATAGTAAATACTAAGTGTTCAACCAGTCCTGCGCCTGTCGTCTGTCCACGCTTGTTTTCTTTTTGCACGTGCCCCCTTGACGAGATGGGCGTTTGCTTCGTGATTCTCCCAAGCAGCCTTAGGCTGCCTTCATATTTGGCGCTAGCATTTTGAGTGTATGCCAGCGCTCGGTAGCATTTTGAGCGACTGTTGAAGTGTGAATATCGATGTAGCGGTCTAAGCATACGCCAGCGTTTTCAGCGACTACCCGCGAGACGCTCAAAACGGTAGAGCGATAGTTTCCCAGTCGCTCATAACGCTGACGCAGAGTATGAACGCTTTCTCAGAGAACATGGTCGAGGAAAGAATGGGCGTCGCCTGGTCACGCCCCTCTCCCCGAAAGGATCAAGTGTGTGGGTGTGTGTATGTGTGTCAAGGAATCCCCGACAGGGGTTGTTTTTAGCCGAATAAAATCTTCTGATGAGTGGTTCTTTCCGTTACATGTCCCTATGTGAACCAAATTCCTCCCCGAACGCTTGACACTAACTTTCGTAATTTTTTTCAGGCGGAATTCATAGTGGAAGGGACTAATGTGGCCAAAATTGTGGCAAATTTATTTTGACACTGCCCGCTAAGATATTGATACTTACAATTCTTCATCCTCCTAGGATTCCCATTAGCCTATTAAAAAGCATATGCCTCATTCCCGGACGTTGTTTCTTGAATGGGAGGACAAATCTCGTACCCGTGAGACGTTTTGCCGGTATTGATCGATGTGCTCAAGTTTTTACACGTTCAAAACATGATCGGACATGTGTTTGACTAGCGCTTGTGGACACAATGGTCACATTTGTTCGATTGCAGTCTTCAACAGCGGTAGTGGCTCTCGCGGTCCTGCGATGGGATACTTATACGGTAGCTTTGACTTATGTACAAATAGCTAGTTGTCACAGCCGAGCTAAATCATTCAGTGTTGTTGGAAGCTTGTTTGTAAAATGAGTTTCTGGGAATGTATGAGCATGCAGCGTATGAGTCACTTTAAACTGTTAGTAGCACCTCGATTCGTATAAATACTGTCGTAGGTCGATAGCACCCACTAGGTCCCTCTTTGTAATGAAAAACCTGGAAAACCGATTTTGCACTGTTTTATGCGGAGCGGTACTGCACAATCTCAGCAGTTCTTCTTCCTTTTGGTTTCGACAGCGGTAATCAAAGCGTGATCTTGTGAACCTGTTTGCTTGTATCGATTTCTAAGCTGACTCTTTCGTATTTCACTCGTGTGCTTTTGTTCAGTTTGCAGGCTGCAGCGTGCAGCCTGTTCTCGTATCACTTTGGCTAATCTATGTTCAATTTATGCTATTCTAGGCTGTAGAACTCAAAAAGCTAATGTATTTGGAATCAAATGGGTGTGAATTCAAGAGCTACCTACGTTAAGGTCAGTCGTCTTCCTTTACAATTACGATTTATACCTAATTTACTTGCTGGCTTTTTTTGATCAAAGAGTTTCGTTTACATACAATTAGCAGCACTGTTTTACTTGTAGTGTTTACGGTTTTCGCCCTGCTTTTCTTATGTTAGGAGATAAGATGCTATGTGATGGGTGTCATGAAGAGATGAATCGAATGCTGAAGAACCAGCTCCTTTTCCTATCTCACAGGGGCAGCTTTATGTCCTCGCACTTTGCCATTACTCCTAGCAGTGTCTTGTATAATCATGCAGGTTCCGTGTGAAAGGCGAGAGTGGGAAAAGTTGAAGTCAGCAGAACACAGGAGGTGAGATTTTTCGTCGCTGATATCGCGTTCATACCTTGTGATTTGGGAGATTGAGCGATTCTGCGATTTAAGGGACTCGGTGATCTGGCGTTCTGTTAGATCGCCCGATCGCCGAATCTGTGCAATCGCACCGATCGGCGCTGATTGATACCCATCCACTCGTTTGGCGCGCAATCGCCGAAAACGGGGTATGTGACAAGAGGATCGTAATTCGCCGCGCTGCTGGGCGTCGCGTGCGACGTCTCGTCTGCAAAGGACGATGGTTCAGGTAGTAGATGGCGACAACATGCAATTAAGGACCGAAAACAGTAATGACTGTCTACGATGACGGGGTCTACATGAAGTCCGGTGCTCCATTCGACAGGTTAAAACGAGTTATGAAAACGCCGCGCCCATCGCCGCGCGTGGCGGTGCGGCAAATTACGATCCTCTTTACCGTCTCCCAACGCAGTCTCCCGAATCGCCGTATGGCAGCGTTCATACTTCGCGACAGCAGTGGCGATCGCCGCGATCGTCGGTACGCGTCAGAGCGCGCCCCAACGCTATTACTTGGTCGCTTCGATAAATGAGGAAATCCAACTTGTACTACCTTTTTTTATCAAGAATGGCTACTAGCTGGAAACTGAGAACTTCCTCTACCTAAGGCCGCGTTCATAGCATGCAACCATGAAGAAATGCAGAAATGAAGAAATGCGGAATCTGCGGAAATGACGAAAAGCATTGTATACATATCGATTTGAAGAAATGCAGAAATGCCGAAACTGCAGAAGTGCGGAATCTGCAGAAATGAAGAAATGCAGAAATGCGGAAACTGCAGAAGTGCGGAATCTGCAGAAATGACGAAAAGCAACCGATACGTATCGATTTTCCGCACTTTCTGCATTTCTGCAGATTCCGCACTTCTTCACTTTCGGCATTTCTGCATTTCTTCAAGATACGTATCTATTGCTTTTCGTCATTTCTGCAGATTCCGCACTTTCCGCACTTCTGCAGTTTCCGCATTTCTGCATTTCTTCACGTCGCAAGTTATGAACGCGGCCTAAGAAGATCTGGATTATATGGAAGAGGTGGTTTCACCTTTTATTTAGGCCGGGATAAGTGCAACTTCATTTAATGAGTGAGCTTCTCTTTGTTTCTTTTGTTTTCATTGTTTCAATTTATATAAGTGTCTTGAAACTTTCCTACTGGCCAAACTGTTCAACTTCCAAAACATTTATAGTTTACAAGTCGAGTTCAAACAACGAAAAAAAAGAAAACAGAAAGGAACTCACCTAGGAACTAATTCGTGCAACATCGAGGAGGAGGAAACTTCATAAGTTCATGTATAAGCTCGAAGAATGAAAAAAGAAACAATAAGAAACTTACCCTAAATGAAGCCCCTTGCTTTTTGCTCATTTCTATCCTGAATCAAAAAAGAGAATAAAAAGAAAAGCCATTAGGTTTCATCCACCTTTCCTTGAGTCAAACAAACTCTAGTACCTGAGTCAATTGCAATCAAGGGAAAAAGCAGGAAATTAAGCCAATTCCTCCTAATAGCACTCGGAGCGGTCCAAGTAATAGCGTTGGGGCGCGCTCTGACGCGTACCAACGATCGCCACTGCTGTCGCGAAGTATGAACGCTGCCTATGCCTCAATCTTCGCAGTCGGCAGATTGATACACATGCTATCCTCGTCGTGCAGTCTCTCACATCGCCGAGTGTCTCAATTTACGAATCTCCTCAGTGACAACGTGAAAAAAATCAAAGCAAGCGAATGCGGCCTAACGTTGTTGGGGAACACTCGGCGAAGCTTCCGTATTCTTGAAACTCTGATTTTTTTTTGTCCGTGCATCCAGTGTGCTTCTCACATTTCGCTTCGTCGCGCACCTATCCATATCTCACAGCTCCAAAAATCGGGTCTTATTGGGAACTTTTTGGCTGTTTCGTTTTTCCTTTGACTTTTCAAACCACTCAATGACCAGAAGATTCATATTTGAGCCTCTACCACCGGCATGCGGAAGCGGAGAAAACTCTTCAAATCTGCAAGAGGAAGCGAGGGGCTAAAGCTAGCGGCAGCGAATGATTAAAGATGAGCGCGACGGTGGGTAAGGGAGTGCAATCCATCACAAAAATTGACAGATTTATGAAATGTCAGACTTAATCAAATGAACTCATTAGAGGCAGTTGGTGGGAGCGATTGGAGGTAGATGACTGGCGAATTGCCAGGAAAAAGTTGATGAATCGAATTATTTGACTGCAGGTTATCCTGCCAAAAGATGGCTTTCCGCGTCTTCTTCAAAATCACTACCGTAAGCGAGTTAGTGGTAACGATAGCAGGTAGTAGGCCGAGAAACAGTGGCAGCTAACTAAATCTGAAGCGCAATTATACCAGGGCGAGTGAAAGAAGTTGTGGCAGCCGTAGAATGTTGAAAACGGTTGAAATCGAAAGTTTGTTGAGTATTTGTAAAAATCTCACCTTTAAAAGCTGTATTTTTACTTCAAAGAAGTACTAGTTTTCAGGTGCTCATTGGCCACGAATCATTTGCCCTCGAAAAGCCTCTGCCAAATAATCATCGATTCCGATGGATTCTTTTCGTACGCCCTATCATAGGGTCAAAGTTTACGGACAGAACATTCCTTAGCAAGGTGCCTTACGTTTTTTTTACTCTGTACCTCGTTCTTCATCCTTTTGATTGTGGTTTTCATTCCGAATTTTTGTGAATTTTCCGGGAAATTAATTAGCTGTTTGCTTTTTACTGTATTGCTTACTTTCTTTTTGGTTGTTACGATTATTTTTTTTACAAATATGGTTCAAAGACACATTCCGCGTCATCGGATGATCGGATGGGGAGGAGAGGTACAACTGTGTCTACCTCACTGGTGCATCACTTCCAATACGATAAATGCCAGTGGTTGCGAATGTCTTTCCCATGATCTCGGAATGTGTCGTTAAGCCAGGTGGTAATGTGGTGGAACTTTCAACTAACTAGCTCAGGCATTCTGTCATAGAGATTCGCAAAAAACGTCTGGCACACCCTTCAGCGCTGGTTGTTACCGAAAGCACCGCTCACAATTTTTGGGGTGAACTTCATCCTTGATGGACATTATACGCTGCTGGTACGCGCGGTGATGGTCAACCACTAAGCCTCCTTCAGCAGATCTGTTCTCCTGCTAGAGGGTGAAGAAGAGTAGCGCCCTCAAAAAAATGCACAGTGATTGACCGATTATACTATAAGCATGGACAGTGCCGTTAGGCTGCGTTCATACCGTGCGACGTCGTCGTCAACGTCGACGTAACCTGCGTTTTCTGCGACTAGTTCGTGAAGATTATATACGTATCGATCCGACGAAAGCTGCGTAAGTTGCGTCGTCGAATCGATACGTATCTATCTTCGCGAAGTAGTCGTCGGTTACGCAGCTTACGCAACTTACGCAACTTACGCAACTTACGCAGCTTTCGTCGGATCGATACGTATGTATTCTTCACGAACTAGTCGCAGCTTACGCAACTTACGCAGCTTTCGTCGACGTTGACGTCGACGTCACACGGTATGAACACAGCCTTAGCACATTCGGGTTCGCCATATTGCGCGCACTTCCGTCACCTTTACTTTTCTTCCATAATGGAAAATCTGTCGATAATTTCGTTAGCAGTGTTCCACATTGGATGGTGGTTTATGGGACCCAGAAACGTGAGGGTACAACTTCAGGAAGTGATGAAGTACCAAGGGCGTTAAATGAAGCGGCGTCCGTGCGTTCGATAGGTGTGGGCGGTACCAGACAATGATGTGCTCCAATTGAATGCATGAAGAAGAACCGCATCATTTGATTTCGTTGGAAGTCTTCATCCAAGTGATTACATGGTCCGAAATGTGCTGAATTAGTTAATTGAATTTTCTCTGCTCTAGTTTTACTCGCTTTGCTTCCATCTTCCGATTTCATTTTCATTTTCAGTGATTTCTCTATTCATCTCTCCAATGGCATCTTTTTACAATACAATAAGAACAGACTGTTGAATTTTTCTTCAAACACCTGTCATAATACAATTCTAGGTGGAAGTGGAATTGCATCCTACATTTGCAAATCCTTTTCGAGTGCTCAAAGAGCCACCGTTCGAACTAGAAGAAACCGGTTATGCATCGTTCACGCCAAAGCTAATTATTCATTTCAACACTCCCCATGCTAAGCCGTATCCTGTCCAATATGACATGAATCTCAAGCTTGGTACGAATTTGTGGCTATCTACAGTCTTGCAGGTTTCGAAGGTGAACAGTGTACGATTTAGAGAAGCATGCATTCCATCAACAAGAAATGACGTTTGCCATGTCGGATGTGACGCCATCGTTTCTTGAGCTGGTCAGACGCTTCTGTGGATCCACGGATGGGAAGCGGAAGAAGCGGGACGCCGACGGATCGGCTAATCGCACGAAAAAGCCCAAACCAGACGAGGGAAAGTAAGGATTTTTACTTCGGTTTTTTTGTTCTTTGCGATTTGTGAGTCACGATTTGAGCCTGGCTTTTTAAAGTAAAGACGCGATTGCTGGGGGTGGGTGGTTGCCCCCAGTTTCATTGGTAGAAGGGCTGACAGGGGTGGGGTGTGACCAAAGGCTCTCTGGCAACCCTTCCAACAGTGGCGCTGGCAACAATGGTGGCCCCATCAATTATGCCTTTGCCTTCGAATCGCAAAGTTCTCTGCTCTTCTCAAGTTAGTGTTTTAAGATCCTTGTAACCTGCCGCATTCCAAATTCCACTCATGATACATGGTTCATGCACATCGGAATCCTCTTCTGTTGGAAACCTTTGTCGTGCAGCCAGGGCGCGTCATGCGTTGAGGATGACCAGCGAGGAGGTTGTATTCGCTAAAAGGGTAGGGATCCACCTTGCCTTCGAGAAAAATTTCTTTCGTGGCAAGAAAACTTTTATGTGGACTAATCAGTCCACAATCACCGCCGTTTCGCTCTGTTTTTGCCCTTCTCCCCATCTACTTGCTGACGGTAACCGAAGAAAATTAGGAAAAGTTGGTAAGATGGTACGTGGAAAAGGGGATGAAAAACCTGCTGGTACGAGAGGAGGGAATTTTTAAGGAGGTCTATTGCAACATTTTCCCCATTGGCAGGACGTGCCCTGTGTGCTGCTCTTTTTTTGCGTATTTCGATGCTCTAGCAGTTGTTGTCCTCTTCCTGTCCTCGCGCTGAAGGACCGTGATGGGAAGCGGAAGCGCTCACGTAGACCGTTTTGTAGTATTAGTGGGCATTTCTGCAATTTGGCTTCTAATCGATCTGTTTCCAGGAATCACAATGACTATGGTGTAAAAGAAGGGAAGGAAAGTGAAAAGAAGAAGGACGCTGGACGAGATAATGAAAAGAATAAAAAGAAAACGAAGCGCTCATCTAAAGACTTGACGGTAACTCCTATGTTGTTCTTCAAGCGGGTGCTTTCCGGTTTTTTTTTCAAGCATTCTGACGAATAATCTGTCGGGCTTTTCTCTGAGCTAAACAGAAGTTCTTCTTTAGGAAGGAACAGATCGTGAAATGGTCCCTATTCGTGATGTATCACCAGAATCAATGCCAGTGGATACCTCAGCAGTTCGACAAACAATCACACCCCAACGTCCAATCAAGGTGGCACCAAATAAGGCTGAGGATCGCGGTCAGGACAGCTCTAATGATTCGGTAAAGTTCCTCTTCTTTCTAAAAAGCTAATAATTAGCTTCATCGGTTATGACTTGAAATGGAAATTTTTAGTCTTCTGTGTTTGATTCTTCTCCATCGTCATCATCTTCTATTGGAGCTGCTAGTCCTCCATCTCGAAGAGCACTGCCACTTCCTGAACTGCATCGTCGCTTGACGTCTCTTACAGATGATAATTTGATATTCAGGTAAATTTTCTCGGTTCTTTTGTTTTAAAGTTTGTTTCGTTTATTTTCCTTTTTTTGACAAGTGATTCTGTGGAGCGTATTCTCCTTACTTATTATCAATGCTCTTATATCGTGAATAGAGGTTGTGCTGCTTGTGTGGGTGGAGCTGTCTGATGATTGTGCTGCTCGATGGGTGGAGGTGTCTGGTACCGCCCCTCTTTATAGAGTGCTTGGGAGGGGAAAGGAGAAATGATTGAAAGGTAAGGAAAGAGGGACAGGACGTTCGCAAAGGTGGATAAGATCTTAGGCGAAGGTGTATTATGTTTAGTAGCAAAGTGAAAGACATAAAGTTCATATGGGGGAAAAAAGGCCGAAAAGTCCCAAATCAGTGTCTTTTGATCTTCTTGTAATAAACTTTTGGAATCACTCACTGTTAGTGAGCATTTAGAAACCACGATGCTTAGTACAGTGCGTAAATGTGTATTATGTATAAGCTTGGACTTGTTACCCTTCGTTGGGTATGCGCATCCGCGTATAGGACGAACTCCCAACCACCAACGCGGCAAGTGTTTTGCGCCGAGCAATACACTTTTTGGCGGCTCCTGCTATGGCTGGACACTTTTGCGCACGTTGTCATGTGCATCTAAAGGACCTTGATAACAAATCTGCCTTTTACTCAACCAAATAGGGTACATTATAACAACCTTACCCTATTCTCCCACGTGTCGTTTTGAAAGTCCACGTTGCGACGCGACGACAGAAGCTGGTCATAATGTCCGCGGAGCGCAGTAACCTATCCTGTCTGCGATTTGCTATTTTTATACTTGGCGCTTGCCATCGCTTTCACTCAGCTGTCACGAGGTGGAACTCACACAATCTACTCTCGCATCTGACTTACTGAGTAGACAGGGCGTGCTTGGGTAGCAAAAGCTGGTTCAGTTACCCAAACTATTAGGTTGTCCGGAAAGGAATGCGCGTTCGAGCTTAAAAAATTTTTTATTATAAAAACGAAATTAAACAAGATAAATTCAAAAGACAATCTCCATTAGTATCAATGACTTGTTGTCAACATTTATGCAAAAAATGGATTCCTCTTCTGAAGAACTCGACCGGCTGCGACTCAAAGAAGTTGGACACCCAGAGTTGGACCTTTTTCGCGGTTTGTGAATTTCTCTCGGCCAGGGAGTTCTGCATCGACCGGAACAGATGGTAATCGATGGTGCCAGGTCTGATCTGTGTGGCGAATGAGGCAGGACTTTCCAGCCCAATTCCTCAATTTTTTCTAGAGTGATTTTCGCCACATGTGGATGAGCGTTGTCGTGGATAAATTTTGTCGACGTCGTTTCGACACTTTGAAGACGCAGTGCTGGATCCATGCGGTTCAATTGGTGTTTGCAGATGTCCGCCGTAACCGTCTGACCCGATTCCGGAACTTCAAAGTACATCAAACCTTTGCTATTCCACCAAACACGGAGCATCACCTTTTTGCCGCGTATATCAGGTTTCGGAGTCCGTTTTGGAGGGTCACTGGAGTCTAACCACTGTCCTTTTCTCGTTGCGTTATCGAAGCAGACCCTTTTCTCATTTGATGTAATAATAGAGTCGAAAAAACCGCTGTTCTTGGAGCGACGAAGAAGAATTCCGGCCATTGCCACTCGTGTTGCCTTGTTTGCGTCGCTCAGCTGGTGCGGCACCCGCTCTTCCCAACTTTTTTTCCCCAAAAAAGCAAAGTAGACATGGACAAAAATATATCAAAAGAAGCACAATAAAAATCTCTTTCTAATAGACAAAACTGTCTCCAAAAATCTTCTATAGTAGGAGAGAAAAAAATGGACAAGTTCAAAAAATTCAACGCGCATTCCTTTCCGGACAACCTAATATTAGCCTGTGCTATACGTCTTTTGCACAATCTGGGTGAAGTATGTTTTATCACTGACCGGAACTTTTCGTGCGCGAGGGGGGAAGGAGCTCCGGGGTGGGCCAGAGAACAGGAGCGACGATATCTCCGCCTGGGAGCGCGGAATGCACGCAACATTGTCCAGCACCCACTGTCCAGCCGCCACACGGGCGGTTATCGGATGGTGTTGTGTGCAGTTGGTACTACTACGCACTCACTTCCATGCTCGGTTGGTTTACTGTACCTGTTTCCTGCACTTATAATTTAGTCTACTGTGCCACGCAGTGTCTGGTTATCTGTGCTCTCTCTCTCACGGAGACAATTTCCCCAAATAGTTCCGAGAAGGTCCCCGGCATAATTCATGCGAGAGATCGTTTTTGAATTCTAAAGTGTCTTATATAATCTCCTGAATTTTTGAAAAGACTTGGCACGGCAGTGACAACGTCAGGAGATTTACGTAACATTACGACATTATTTTTTGTTCCAATTCCAGTATAAGCAGTCGATATTGATTGATTAATTTCTGTAACACTCCTTTATGTAAATCTGATTGTTTATTGTTTATTGTATTTCCAGAGTAGCCGAAATACTGCTCACACACCCCACATCGACAACGATGTTGCTGCCTTCAAAGCCGAGTATCTCATTCGATCTCACATCAGCAGATGCTGCTCTTGTTGCCAAACTAAGTCATGTACTTATGAAGACCGAGTGATACTCCTGTGCTCCAAAGAGATCGCGCCACGTTCACGTGAGCATCACTTCATTTGTTACTTGATTCATTGTTCTATAGCTTAGACAGTATAATTTCGAGTTGAAAGAGGCCATCCTGTTGTGAACATTTTTTACTACGTAATAATCAAAAATTAATAGTATCATTAGGTTGCTTATCATATTGTTTTTGTTTGTTCTGTGATTTCTTTCTTATATGCGTTTCTTCGTTTGTATCCCTGAAATGCTTGCCCCGGTCCAAGTTTGTGAATTCGTGCATTCAGGTATGTAAAATGATCATCCCAGTTATCTCTCTATGTGACTTCCAAAAAAACTGGTTCTATTTTCTGCTATGTAAATACTATTTATCATGATTATACCTAAGTCTTGGCGCTTACGGCTCGATGATGCTCCCATAGATTACTTAAAAAGAAATATGTGTATTGTTGGCTTTGTTATTGGTTACGTATTTGGGTATTTATAGCCATTGATTTCGCCAAAACATCATCACCGTTCCTCCCCCACCCCCATATGCGTATGTGTTTCTCATTCCACCAAATCATATTCGTTCGATACTCATGCCTTTTGTGTAGCGCTGGACAACTTGTTTCCGGTAAGAGTTCATTTATAACCCCTATGCTTTGCGTAGGTATTATACCTTTACATGTGATGTCGCTCAAATGGAGATTCTCCTTATTTTCGCCACCAGAGAAATAAATTCTCAACGTTTTGTGTTGTCTATTGGGCAGTCAGCTTCGGCTTCCGTATTTCGATTCCGAGAGTTTCTCGAACCACGAAGCCTCGATCAAGAGTTTTTTGCAGATCAACTTCACGGACCCCTTTGCTACGTATCGGTTAAATCTTACTCGATTTCCAGGATAGATCGAATTTGTCACATCTTCCTATGGTAAACTGTTTTATAAATCAAAAGGTTAGTCAAGTTCAGCCAGGGGGGTGTTTTCTAACTGACAGAATTTACTAACTCGTAGAGGTGCCCACAGAAAGCATGGGAATAAGAATGTTGCAAGACTCCCACCCATGAACAAAAAACATTGTCCTACCCTGGACTTTAACCAAGACTTCTCCCGTACGCTTGAACGGTTCTATGAAAGCACTGTTTGGCGCTGTAGTCAGATAAGTGGTAATCGTGGTCACATTGGTGACCACGATGATCAACCCGAAGAGGGCTGTTTGGCATCGGGCGGAGCGTGCTGCACTTTTGCTTGCTCCTATTGCAAGTCGTTTTTGCCGCAGACGCTGGGGTGTGTTAGTGTGCTAGGCTTGCTGCCAGCCCGTTCTACAGTCGTCATCCGGTGACTTGATTAGGGCGGCAAGGGACGCGACGCGGCTGCGGTGTGTTGCGAGCGCGGCGATCAGCTGTTTCCAGCCTATTTTAGCCATTTTCTAGTTTTACGCTTGCTTTTTTGTCTGCTTTTCTCACGATTAGCTGTTTCTTGTCTTCACAGGGTAAATTATCATTGGGGCTCTTCTGGTTTTTGCGTACACTTAAACAGTTGAGCAGACAATTGAACAAATACCTGAAAAAACTGCAAAAACACTCTCCTTTCAAGAACAAAAAAAGCTCCACTTTCTAACATACTTTATAGAGACAATGAAACAACTACCCTTAGAAAAAAGGAATAAGCGTGAGAAAAGCAGCCAAAACAGCGTAAACTAGGGAAATGGCTAAAATAGGCTGGAAACAGCTGATCGCCGCGCTCGCAACACACCGCAGCCGCGTCGCGTCCCTTGCCGCCCTAATCAAGTCACCGGATGACGACTGTACACCAAATGTTGAAGCGTGCCAGCGATAATTTTTGAAAAGCTGGCTCCCCCAATCTTAGCTGCTTTCGCTTGACAGCCCAGGCGTCTGCAGCGAAAACGGCTGTGGTTCTAACATGTCTCACTTTGGAGGGACCCGTAGAATCTTGTGAACTTGCGAACTTTGTAAGTGCACCTTTTTAGTTACACGTTTCAACAAGTCGATTCAAGAGTCTTCACGAGGTAAGGTGTACAAATCCTTGATAAGAACGCACTGTAAGCAGTCTCCGCCCTCGTGATTGCCCCCCCCCCTTTATTTCATTTTGCCATCGCTATTCAGCTTGATCAGCCTTCTTTCAAAGGCATGGCACGAGAATTCGGTCCTGCTAACAGGGTGCAATATAGCGGGAAAATGGCAAAAAAACGAAGTGAAATGATCAAAACTGCGAAGAAAAGCCGTCGTTCTTATTGACTCAAAAGCGATCTCGGACGAGTTTCCAGTGGGCATCTTACCGCTACGGTAGATACGGCTGCATGTATGTACTCATATATCCATGCAGCACCGCGGCCGCTTCATGTCAATCCCTTCGCTTCATATTTTACTTCGCAAATGAAGCAATACGAGCATCAGGTACGGTCGTCCATTTGTGGGTGGG